TACAATGACTTGTGATTTCACCAACTCAATGTCATATAATCTATGCCAATTCAACCGTTCTTTATCGTGTGATCAATCTTTTTAACTTTCTTAAGTTAGGGAATCCATGTTTGAGGTCGCTGCATTGAAAAAAAAAATGCAAAATAGTTGAAAAATCAACAGAACGACTTAAGAGTTGTTAAACGACACTTGTGTCGTTCTATCTATAAACACGATTATACGTAGTCACAACCCATCCATGCCCTAAAAATCAATAAGTTGAACTCATTTCAATTGCAATATAAACATTCCGTTTACAAAAGTTGAGAGATGTGCTCATTGATTATATTTTCTAACGAATCAATACAATGACTTGTGATTTCACAAACTTAGTGTCGTATAATCTATGTCAATTTAACCGTTCTTTGTCATGTGATCAATCTTTCTAACTTTCTTAAGTTAGAGGATCCACATTTAAGGTCGCTGTGTTGGGAAAAGAAGGAAAATATTTGAGAAATCAACAGAATGACACAAGAGCTGTTAAACGATACTTGTGTCGTTCTGCCTATAAACATGAGTATACATAGCCAAGACTCATTCATGCTTAAATAACGAATAAGTTAAACTCATTTAGATTGTAAGATGGACATGATATTTATAAAAGTTGAGAGATGTGTTCATTAATTATATTATAATGAACTAGTAGAATAACTTATATTTTTATCAACTTAATATCATATGATCCAATCGTTTAAATCATTCTTTGTCACGTGATTAACGTTTCTATATTATGCACATTAGTGAGTCCAATACTTGAAGTTCTGAGTTAAAAATAAATCAAAATATAGAAGAACTCAACATAATGTTACAAGTGCCATTACTGAGAAGAAAACGACCCATGAGTCGTTCTATTTATAAACACGATTATAAAATGGCCACACTCTGTTCACGACTCCGAGAACCAATAAGTTGAACTCATTTATGTTATAAGATGAGCATGATATGTACAAAAGCCGAAAGATATGCTTATTATTTATATTTTAATTAATCAGTAGAATATATCATGCTTTTATCAATTCGATATCACATGATCTATGTCATTTCAATCGTTCTTTATCATGTGAATAACTTTTTCATTTTATTTATGTTAGATGGTCCAATGCTTGATGTCTTTATCTTGAAAATAAATTAAAATATTGGAGAATTCAACAGAACGACATAAGTTCCTTTATTGAGAAAAAAAGACCTTGTATCGTTCTATTTGTAAAAAATGAATACAAGCGGTCACGCCCCATTCCTGTCTCAATAAATAATAAGTGAAACTTGTTTACATTATAATATGTACATGAAATGTACTAAGGTTAAGTAATATGTTCATTAATTTAATTGACGCATATGAGTAGGATGATTTGTGCTTTCACCATTTTGATAATATAAAAGTTATATCATTTCTATCGTTCTTTATGATATTGTCAACCTTTCTATGTTACATACATTATGGACTCCATTATTAGAGGTTATTTAAATTGAAAAGGATTAAATATATGTAAAAACTTCTGAACGGTACATGTGTCGTTACTGGAGATATGAAAGCCACACATGTGCTGTTACATGTGTAAACATGACTATAAGTAGTTATGATCCATACGTGTCCCTAAAAAATAATAAGTTGTACTTATTTATGTTGTGATATACACATGACATGTACAAAAGTTGATAGATATGCTCATTAATTTAATCAACACATATGAGTAGGATAACTTATGATTTCACCATCTCGATAATATAAAAACTATGTCATTTCAATATTTCTTTGCGACATAGTCTATTTTTCTGTGTTTTTTACATCAATAGTTCATTATTAGGGATTGTTTCGTTGAAAAAAAAATCAAATCACAGTAGATAACGACTGTAGTGCCGTTTTACGCTACAAAAAATGACCGGAGTGACGTTTTACATTTTGGATAACACTTGGAATGTCATTACCATCCAATAGTTGTAGAAAAAGAAATATATATATATATATATATAACTGACTCTTCTTGGACATCCCAAGATGTGTACGTATGTGTATATATATATATATATATACATGTGTGTGTGTGTGTATATATATACACTAAGTATAAAAACAACACCAACTTAAATATTATTCAATAATAAATGTACAATTTATATCAAATTTTTAAAATTATCTTTCTTCTTTCTTCAAATCTAAATGAGATCTTTTAATATAGATAATAAATGTTCAAAGGATATCCATATAGGTGAATAATATAATGAAGAATAGGATTTTAGAGTAGCAGGAATGGTTGAAGAGAAGAAATCGGGTTACTGTGAATTTGGGAACCAAAAATTGAATTGGAGAATTTAATTGGATTGATAAGGGTGTTAAAGTCTTTTCCAATAATGAGGGTATTTATGACATTTGACCTTATTTGTTTATTGTGTTTAATAGTTGAAGGCTATTTGTTCAAAAAACATTCAAAAGAGGTTATATAACCAATAACATTGTTTGACTAGGCTTTTTAACAAATTTCCCCTTTATTTTATAACATGTATGCCATACTTGATGGATTGGCTGCCTTTTTCTCACTGCCTTCTTCCACCAAAATCCTTTGGGCTTCATCCAGTGTGACCTCAGTGCCCTCTTCTGTATCTGAGAACTGGTGGACCTTGCAGGTCTTCTCTCTCATTCGAATAGGAGATATGCATTCCCATGCGTAATGGGTGTATGTCCTTTTTTATAGGTGATTTTAGAAACATTTTGGTCATTTCCTGAGCTAACATTCATTTATTATTATGACAAGGCCATGAATAAGTTCCATTTCCAAGGTTTTTCTGTAGGTTTGTTCTTTCGTGACACTTGTGAAATAATTCACTGCATGAACTTATAGGTTTAGTGCACTAAAATCTAGGTTGATTATGTCAAAATTCGCATTGAGGTTTTCGCCCATATTCAAGATTATTTTGAAAGCCCTTAGCTTTTGTTTCGGGTTGAGGGCTCCAATTGTAAATGTTTAACCAAATGATTGAATTCCACATTCCTTTGCTCAGAGGAACTTCATGGACGAGGCATCTTTTTGGGTTTGACACACTTCATCGACCGAGGTGTAAACATTTGTCCAATAACATGTGGGTGTATGTTGGGAACCTTTCATGTGTCATTTAGGTGGATAACAACTATATTAATACGTAACAACATCGATTATGTCAAATACATTTAGCTTCGAACTGGTCCATTTATTACGAAAATGATGCTAATGAACTTTTCTAGTGACCACTTATCTGGAATTGGTACATTAAGGGCCTGTTTGGGAGTTTTGGGGATACTGGTTATGGGTGTTTATTTAAAAGTAATGATTTTCAACATTTGAATGGTTTTAATGGCAATTTTAAAATTTATTGTGCACCAATTCTAAATGTTATTCAAAATAATAAAATTACATATATGTCCCATAGTTAAATTTTCAACTTAGATTTTTTTCCTCAAAGGTCATGTTTTACTTGTAAGTAATTTTTTCACATATAATTTAAGATTTAAGCAACAAAGTTAAATATTTACATAAAATTTAAGTATCTATTTTTATTTTTTATTTTTACTTACAAGTAAATTTTATAGTTAATTTAATTTTTATTTCTAAATCATTTTAACTCATAAGCGAATTTTTTTTTAGTTGTAAGTAACTTTTCATATTTTATAAGTGAATTTTTGTCTTATTAGTAGTATTTTTATTTTATAAATAATTTTACACAATAGTGATTTTTATCTTGTAAGTTATTTTTTATTTATACGCAAGTTTTTTTAATTATGCTTAATTTTTTTTAATAAAGGTATTTTTATTCGCTAGTTAGTTTTGAACAAAAGATACTGATCAGCGATAATTGTTTTATAATGGGTAAAATCAGAAGAGAATATGAGAGAACGGCCAAAATTCACTAATTTGGTAGGCTGAGAGACGCGATCAAAATTAAACTATCGATTTTGGATGGTTTTTAAATTATCCAAAATCAGTGCTCAAAAAATTAATAAGTACAGCTTTTTTTCTACCTCTCATAAATGCTACAACTCAAAATTGGTGAAGAAGAACTCCCAAGAAATTCCTAAATTGGTACTTTCCGTCGAAAACTACTTAATTTTAAAAATATATAATGGAAACTACAAATTTTAAAGAATGGATAATGAAGTTTTTAGATTATCCATTACTTTAGTGTTGATTTTCTTGCCCACGTCCAAATGTGTGTCACAAGCTCTCAAACCGCGAATGCGACTATCTTTGAAATTTCACAATCGAATTTCCTTCGACCAATAGGACATTATGTTTCCATCAATTTTATTGGCTAGTCACTCAAAAAATTGTTTGCTTGCTATAAATTTGGAAATCAGATTTAAAAATAATAAATAAAACAAATACAAAAATTAAAATATAGCGTTCTCAATCTATGATATTGCAAATGTACCAATAAAAAATTCTAATTGTCACATTTACTGCGAAATGAGAAACATCTTCAAAAATCATATGTATAAAATCTCGGTCTTTTTCAATAATTTCTCATTGAGAGCAACACAATATTCTAAAAAAAAAATTATGTTATCTGATACTAAATTCAAGCTCTAATTTTGAGCAACCATGTTATGCTCTCTTGTTCAACCAAAGTGTAAGATTAAGAAGACTAGAGTTCGACCAAAGAGTGTGTTTTGTGGTACATAAAGGATGCATATTTTTGAGACTTGCATACTCCATTCCTCAAGTATAATGTCTACTCTCATAGAAGTTTAGTTATGTACGGGCAAAGTAGACTTGTCGCATGTAATTTTTTGCTTAGTGGTCATTAAAATTAGATTTTTAACAAATTTTGATAGATCTCATGAAATGTGTGATTGAAAAGTTGTGAATTCGATAAAATATGTGATTAAAATTAGTTATTAACTTTGTTTTGGATTAAAATTTGTCCAAATAACTTCCCCAAAAATATTCCTTTTTTCATTTTTTGCCCTTTCCCGGGAAAATGCTCACACTCTAAATTAAACTTCACTCACTAGTCGGTCTTCAATGCAGAATAATGTGGCGACAACAAACAAGGAATCGCTGCAGCGTCACTAGTGGACGCTCATTAACGGCGAAGAAATGGGACGCGCTGGTGATCGGGGGCGGCCACAACGGCCTCACAGCCGCTGCCTACCTCGCAAGATCAGGCTTGTCCGTCGTGGTCCTCGAGCGCCGCCACGTCATCGACGGAGCTGCTGTCACTGAAGAACTTGTCCCCGGCTACAAGTTTTCCCGATGTAGCTACCTCCAGAGCCTACTTCGCCCTGCACTTATCAAGTCTCTTTCTGTTCCATATACTGAATTACGCACAAACACACATAATTGATGAATTTGTTGTTAAGTTTACGTTTTTGATTGATTAGGTGTTTTTTTATGACAAAGGGAATTGGAGTTGAAGAAGCATGGATTGAAGATGTTGAAGAGGAGTCCATCGTCATTCACTCCCTGTCTAGATGGACGCTACCTTCTGCTTGGTCCTGATAAGGAGCTTAATTATTTGGAGATATCGAAGTTCTCGAAACGCGATGCTGAGGCCTATCCTAGGTCAGCAATCGCAGCTTGTATTTTTCTGGGTGAAGTGTTTGTATTCTTCATTTATTATTCTATGAAATGGTAAACCAAAAAATGGAAAGACTTGTTCTTGAGCAATCTAATGGTGGTCACGTCATTATATTTAGCACAACCTATAAAATTAGATGAAGGAAAAACTTGTGGGGAGATAGAAAACAGAAATGGGTTGGATAAATGTTGAAATTGTTGACAATATCTTTAATCAATTAAAAAATGCAATGGTGTGACGAGTGAAATGAGCTCTCTGAAAATAGTTTTAGGAAAACAATAGGTTTTAGGGCATGTTTGATATAGAGTATTAGACTCGAGTGCAGAGTATAATGGTCAATATTTTAGCTTATTTTTCTTATTTAATTATGTCAAGACATCTTGCAAAACAACCCGTTAATATGGGATCCTTGGATTTGGGTAGTAATCGAATTGAATAGTAATAGGACTCATTCTGTTTCTGAAGACCTTTTTTTATGCTCGAATTCTTCCATGAAGCAATTGAAAGTGGTTGTGGAAAGTAGCACACATAGGCCATAAGTCCTATTAAATTTATTTTGGTTTTATCATATATTCACTGCTAGGTTTTGAAATGTGCATATGATTTTTATGATCCTCATATAGCTTATTATGTTAGGGCATAAATAATATGGTTGAACTGGTGATGTGAACAAACAAAATGGGAAAAATTTATGATTCAAGTTTTTTCGCAATTTTTCTTTCCTGGTACAAAATAATTCGATGAAATACAATTGGCATATCTATTTCTCTCCCTTATTATTGTTTCTGCACTTGGTTCTCATATATAGGTACGAGAATCCGTTAGAGAACTTCTGTAAATTCATGGATCCACTTTTGGATTCGTCTCCACCTGAAACTTTGCAACGAATCTCATCTTTTAATGCCCGGATGAAGAGTAAATTACAGAAGTCTGTTTTTTGGGCTCATTGTCTGCGACGAGCACTTGTCATGGGGCAAAAGCAGATAGTGTAAGAGTTCATTTTCTCTTCTAAGTTGGGTTTATCTTAGTTGCATTTTGTTAGGTGGTCTCTTATCTTGCTAATTATGAGAGACAATATCCCTGTGTAGGTATTTGTTTTAGCTTAAGTAGAGACTGACTTCTACCAACTAATCCACAAGTTCTTGGCTCACTTTCATTGAGCTTCTCAGGGATTTCATGGACCTATTACTGTCCCCTGCCTCAGTGGTGTTAAATAACTGGTTTGAGGTAATAACATGATTGTTGTCCCACTAAATTTGAATTATACATTGCAGCGATAGTGTATGTGTCTATGGAAGTATGTGTTTCTGTATTTCTGAATGACCATGATCTTTATCCTTTATTCTTTAAATTTGAATATAATTCTTGTGCCACAAACTTTGCCTGTTGGTTTGTTAGCTATTTTTTCTTTTGTTGGCTCTTCTTTTTTTTTTTTCCGTCTATTTGTATTTCTCTCGCATCCATGTCAGACTATTTTTTCCTCGACTGTCCTGTCAAAGCTCCAAAGGTTTCTCAATGGAAGCTATGCTGCAACAAGTCTTTTGGCAAACATCAAATCCCTTACGTATCTTTTTACACATAATATTTGCTGTTAACCTGGAAAAAGTTGTGGGAAGGAAATGGAAACTGAATCATGACCTGATCTTTGCATGGATTTTTAGATAGGATTATTGCAGTACTAATAGGATGAGTTTAAACTGCTTATGTCAGCTAACTCACAGTGTGGTTGGGTTGCAGATGCTTTTAGGAAGTGTTCCTGGCCAATCATCTCTTCCTCCTAGTTTCGCAGCAGAGCTAAAATATATCCAGCGTTCATTTAAATAAATATCTTTAGTAATTAATATTTAAGTAATGCATCAAAAACAGATTGATTTGGACCTGTTGGTATTTTCCTATAAAATTGTATTGTTTTTAAATGTTTTAGAGAGCTTTGTGCCACATATTATTTGCATCATTGTCATCTTCGTTATTATTTAAAATATTACACTTCATAACTTTAATTCTTTAAATCCCACTTACTGAAAAGTTTTCTATTGACAGAATGATGTCTTGAAGGCAACACTTGCAACGGATGCTGTAATAGGAACCACGGTGAGAACTGTACTTCCTTGTCATATTATGATCTCTGACGTTAACACATGCAGGATTGTTGTTACTGAAAGATATCATTTTACCTAGGACCCCATGGCATTCTGTTTTTGTAATTTCATTTGCAACAGTAACGCCGTATTGTATAATTGAATGACAACCCATCCAGGCTGAGGTTTTCATTGTTCTATAAACGAAAGGTTGCAATTATTTCCCTATTTCAGTAATAATTCTTGCTTGTATTTGATGTAATTGCTAAGATATATCACATGTCTTATAATTCTTAGCAGCCTTCAGTTCTTAGATCAACTTCTCCCCTGAGAGTGAACAAGATCTATTTTTGGTGAGAAAAATTCAAGTTTGCTTTCCAAATTTTATGCCTTAAGCAGATATGCCAAAGAAATTTAAGACATTTGAGAGGGTGGTGGTTTATATCAAAATTTACAGAACAAAAATATGAGGGGTTATCAAGAAGCAACACCAACCCTTAGGAGTATCTATAACATCAAACTAGTGGGAATGTCTAGTCATCATTGACTTGTGTTGGCACAGTTATCATAAGTCCTTCATAATAACACAAATATCATCATTTTTTTCATTCTGTATTTTGCAACATTTTGTATTGATGTATGGCTTTTGGTGTCCTCATATAGTATCCATAGGTGATGGCGGGTGCAAATGAAAGATATAGAAGATAAAAATTCAAAAATTTATTTTGTGAATATATACTAGGGATAATTGCAGCTGAGACCCCCAAACATTTCAAAAAGTTGCAGACTTTCCCTAACCTTTCATTTGTTGCAACCATCACCCCAAACCTTTCAAAATGTTGTGGATGAAGCCCCAATGGATGGATTTCATCCATATTTCTGTTAGTTGACCAAAAAATTGGACTTTGACCATATTTTAATCAATTATAAAATGACAAAATTGTAACTTTATATTTTTCACATTAAAAATCTTAAATAAAAAAACAACACAAAAGGAAGAAGAAAATAAAATGAAAAGGTTCAAATATTTTCTTCTCCCTCACCCCCACCTCACCCCTTCAACCCAAAACCAGAAATCTACCATCGCCACCACTTGGCCCAAAACTGACCCCTACCCTCACAATCACTACGATCACCACTCTCCAAACACTCAGTCTCATTTGCCCTTCCCCAATTCTCCTGCACCTCCAAATCAAACTCCCCTACCTCAAAATCCTCTGTCATCACCCCGTTTTGATCCACTAGCCCAATCCTCTGCACCGCTAGTGGATATGGTGAAGGGGACACCTAATTAGAAGGAAGTGAAATTGATGAAGTCGAATTTTTTCGTAACTCCATTATTAATTGAATTTTGATGAGAGGAAAAGAAAATAAGTCGCTGAGAAGAGCCATCAGAAAAACGCTTGCCCAAGTAGAAAAAAACTACTAATAAGAGTAAGAAACCATATATTTTCGCTAAGGTGGCCGACTTGCATAGAATTGATCCTCCTACATTACTTGCATAGAAGAAAACTACTAATAAGAGTAAGAAACCATATATTTTGGCTAATGTCGCCGACTTGCATAGAATTGATCCTCCTACATTACTCATTGCGTTTATTAAAAATACTCAAAATTTTCAAAACTCTTGTATTGTTGCAGATTCGAACTTTACAGTGTTTAAATTTATTCTTGTATGGCTTGAGGTGACTCAAATGCGGTTATTGTAGTTTTCCATGAATGAGGGAGGGAAAATTGTGGTGGTCGATCCCTATGAACGGGTTTTTGGGCCAGGTGGTGGCGATAGTAAATTTCTGGTTTTGGGTTAAGGGGTTGGAGTTGGGGTGGGGGTGGGGGTGAGGGAGGAGAAGATATTTTTTTCCTTTTCATTTTATTTTTTTCTTCCTTTTGTGTTGTTTTTTTATTTAAAGTTTTTAATGTAAAAAAATATAAAGTTACAATTTTGTCCCATTATAATTGATTAAAATGTGTTCAAAGTCCAATTATTTTGGTCAATTAACAGAAATATAGATGAAATCCATCCATTGGGGCTTCATCCGCAACGTTTTGAAAGGTTTGGGTGACGGCTACAATAAATGAAAGATTAAGGAAAAGTCTGCAACTTTTTGAAAGGTTTGGGTTTCTGCTAAAATTATCCTAATATACTATTAGCCCCTTTCATTTTGTTTTGCTTTTAATTACTTTGAGATCACCAAAAGTAAAGGGCTCAGATTTGGCAAAGTATTGGAGCCTGAACGGCTGAACCAAAATGCTCGAGTCTGTGTAGCAAGATAGTAGCTACTAAAATTTCTATAAACAACTCGTGTATATTGCACATAACGAATGTGGTATAGGGGTTGCATGAGTTCTTTCAGTATCTTTTGCTTATTAGGAAATGCAGCAGATAGGTTATGAGTCAGCAGAGTGAACCAGACTTGGAGAACTTTTACGTTAAATGTTAATATTATGTTAGATTTTTTATTTAGAAGGGGAATAAGACTTGTCTTTTCAAGTCAGTCTGCATATTGAGAATTCTTCGGAACACTACTGTCAAAGACAGATTTTGTAGATCCTTCCTCATATTCTGTTACTAGTCACGTGGCTTGCACTAATGTTCTTCCTTATCTTGTTACATATTTTATTAGTCACTGAGGCATCCATTGATGGTCATCATGTATATTATTTTTATGCATTTTTAGGATCAATTACGAAAATAGTGCTGTATCTTTATTATGAAGCTTCATTGATTTTTATCTATTATGTATTAATGAGATTTGTCCCTTTTCTGTATCTTAGGGTAGTCCCAATACACCTGGGAGTGGATATGTTTTACTGCATCACGTGATGGGAGAAACTGATGGTGACCGCGGAATTTGGTCGTAAGTATCTGCTTGAAGATGATCCAAGGGAATACAAAGAATACTAGTATTATCATTCATTGTTCAAATAGCTAATTAAGTTTGGATCTTGTATGAAGTACATTTATTATTTTATGTATTTAATAATTAGACATTTCTTATAAAATTAGATTTACATTGACCTGCCTACTTTTAAAATTTTCTATTCTATTCTCAGCATCATCAGCATGAACTATCATGTTATTTACTCTCACTTCTTAGATGATAAAATTTTTAGGTATGTTCAAGGTGGGATGGGCTCTGTTTCTCTGGCCATTAGCAGAGCAGCTAAAGAAGCTGGTGCTACCATAGTGACAGAAGCTGAAGTAAGTATGTGCAATCTATCATGTTAGTTTGTTCATCTCCTTAAATTTATTGAAAAACAAATGCACACAGTAAGTTATTTTATTTAAAGTGCACGTCCTCGTGTATAAATTAGAAATTTTGAACTTAACATCCAGACAAAGTTGAGTGAATGATCTTTGATGCCAGCTTATTGTTGGGCTTGTTATTTATTTATTTGTTTGGGTCTATGGAGGAAAAGGGAGAAAGGACATGTAAACTGGAATATTATAATGTGACCGAAGAGCATGGACAACACATAGTTGAGCCTATTAGTTGCAAACTGCTTGCAGCATATTTTTTTTCATGCCTAGATTCTGGCATTCTACCAACATATTAGAGTCAGTTCTTAAAAGGATGAGGGAGCTTGATACAGCAGATTCAGGTTTCCAATCTTCTCAATGTTTTTCTTGCAGCACCATTTGCCTAGTGACTACGCCTAGATCGTCCAGGTGAGGGCCACAATATATTCTAGACTCCAGAGAACAAACTACTTAATCTTGTTTCCACTTAGGTCCGAAATGTTCAAACCTTGTTAACTTGAAGCCTATACTTCAACTGCTATACAGTAAGCAAGGAACCATAATTGACACGAGACAACATTTTAGGGCCTTACAATCACTCTTGATTAAGGTCCTGATTTTTCTGAGGCATCAATTTACTCCAATTAGCTTTTTTTTAGTTGATCATTAAGGGACTTGATTTTCCCCATCTTCTGATGATTCCATTGTCAAAATCCTTTGTAAGCCCCTGTGATTTTGTAGTTGGGATTAAGGTACATATCCTGCTTTTTAACTTTTTTTAGTTGATTATTGAGGGACTTGAATTTTCCCCTCTTCTTATGACTCCCATGTCAAAAATCCCTTTTTAAATCCCTGTGACATGAATATTGTTTGGGCTGTTGATGCTTATTTACCTAATTTGGATAAGAAAGCATTCTTGTCTACTGTCTTATTTTTGCTCTTAGGCTATATTTCTTCCTTTCTCTTGAATATTGATAGGATCATGCCCTGTTTTTCTTATTATTTCCTTATTTGACCACCTTTCTGTGATATATTGGTTTGTAACAGTTTACTAAAACTAAATATCCATGATCTACAGTCTCTCTTTTAATAATGGCAAAATATGAACCAATATGATCTCATAACTAAAGAATATCATAGAGGTTGATTTTACTCACAATCCAAGGCCGTAGCTCTTGGCATCACTAGCTGCCTTAAAATTTTTGTGTCATGTCTCTATCCTTGATGGTCACATGTATAAGAAGATGGAGCCTAAAAAGCAATGGGAGGAGCCAAGTCTCAAACCGTGCACGTGTTGCTGAATAAGCGGCGACTCATAGCAGTGCTTAGACATTACTTCAATGCTTCTTAATCATTTCAAAATGGTAGAAACATACCTGTTTTTTGTGATACTTTTTCTATCAAAGAATCCTACGGCAATTGATTCCCCGTGATACACTTTGGATAAAAAATAGAGCGTTTGTTTGCAGAGTTGGTTGTAGTTTTCATTGTTGTTGGTAAATTGAAAAAGAGAGAATATGCCATGTTGAATTGGTTCTAATTTACCTTCAACATTGATCCAGAATTTAGTTAAATAGGCTCAGTTATTGACCTTCAAACTCTTTGCATGTTTGTTATTTTTGGATCAAGTTGCTTATCTTGATATAGTAAGCATTGTTCTTTAAAATGTAAAACTATTCTATTATGTTGTTTAGGTCTCAGAATTGATGATAGAGGACCCAGACAGAGTGTGCGGGGTAAATTTCTGAGCGACATCTCTCATTGATGTAGTCAAGCCCGCGCAAATTTATATTTTTGTATTTTGATTGAGTTATTCAGGTTTTGCTGGCTGATGGTACACAAGTGCGCTCTTAGGTTGTGCTGTCAAATGCAACTCCATACAGAACATTTATGGTGAAATTTTAACCCTATTCTTCTTTCAATATGTTGAGCTGAGGAAGTGGGAAATGTATTTTTACCATAAAGAATAGGAAAATGCATGTTAGCCATGACCATGAATTGTTGACTGTTGTAGGTAATGCTAATGATAATCATGTATTATGCTGTACTGCCAGGAATTTGTACCAAAGAATGCGCTTCCGGATGATTTTCTTCGTGTTATCAAGAACTCTGATTACAGCTCTATAAGTGCCATTGCCTATGAATTAATATATTCTCCATTTTCAAAAGAAATTTGGCAGCTGCTGTCTTATGTTGTTGACATGCATACTGTTGTCTGAGATTGTTAATAAGGATTTATTAGCTTACTTTTCAAAGCTTTATATCGAAACCCTTTTTGCTGTATCCTTTATCTTCCTTGTGATTTTTTATTTTCATGTTTTCAACAAATTGAACTGAAATTCAAGAGTTCCTTGTAAAACTGGAACAGGCAGCTACGAAAATCAACTTGGCTGTCGACAAATTACCTCAATTTCATTGCTGCAAGTTGGGCAATCCTGATGCTGGTCCTCAGCATATGGGGACCATACACATTGGTTCTGAGACGTATGTCATCATTTTATTTGTCATCTTATGACCATTTCAGATTTACTTACTGTTCAATTCATCATAACTTACATCTTGAAATGTTTTCAACCAATAGAAGGACACTGGAATATCAACTTGATAATCTTTAAACATATTTTTAAATGTCCATAAATATTTACACTGGTCGAGGAATCCCCTAAGATGACTACTCCTAACCAGCAAAAAGATCGGTTTGACATTTGTTTAATTTTTTTATTTTACATTATGGTCAGTGCTTCCAGGGAAGGTATAGACGTCTTCTGTTCACAATGCTTAAAACTTAAAATCTTCTCATGCTTTAGTTTCTAATTGCCAATTGGTCGATGAATGGAAGAAAAATAATTAAGGTCCTAAGGTTTACTATTTTGTCACATTATATTAGTTGGTCTGCAGCAAAACCACAATGAACACGAGAGGGATGAACTTCAAATAAGTGATCCTGAAGCATTTGTTCATGTTTCTTCTTCTCATATTTTTACAGGTTATGAGCTAATACATTACCAAATAATTCCTAACTGGAATGTTTGTTGTGATAGTAAAAGAAAGGCTCCGAACGTTACATAATTGCACTGGCCTTTGTTACAAAAATTTGAACACGAGTACAGCCAATGTCCATTGATTCTTGTATCTTTGGTTGATGAATAAATTTATGACTACTAAATTATTTATAACTCAATCAGTATGGAGGAGATTGACTCTAGCTGTCAGGATGCTGTAAATGGCATACCATCCCGACGGCCTATAATTGAGATGACAATTCCTTCTGTGCTCGACAAGACTATTTCTCCACCTGGTATACAAAATTTTCTTCGTGATTCTTTCAAATATATATATATATATATATAAATTAATATTCAATTTTCTTTCTCTGGGAAAATTAAAGCTTTGTTTATTTGGTTGTATCTTAATTTTATCTATTCTTTTCTAAGTATATGTTGAATACAGAGGAAATGTGAGCACAAGTGACTTGAGTTGTAACTCGAAACTTGAAATTTTATATTGCTAGGCTTTCTTGTTTGATGGATCCTTTTTGTCAGGATCATTTTTTTAGCACTGCCTGTTAGAAAATCAAATTAGATCCAAATATAAATTAAATCCTAGGATCAACATCATGCTAAATTACTAGAATTCACAGATTCAGATAATATACATGTATCCATTGTAAACGATTGCCTACTGTTGCGGAATTACTGCGACAATTGACTACGTACCGATGAATGCAAGTGAAAAGGGTGGTTTTGTGATCTTCCTCAACCAAATCTCCTTATTCCTCAATGGGACCGTGATTTCTCTTCTTGATGGGAAGAAGGGAAAAGAGTGTATGATTTGGTATATTGGGGACTATAATCAAAATAACCTTTATATACTACTTAATTAAAGTTCCCATTATCCCTTAATTAGAGTAATATTAGCCGGTATCTACTCACTTAGTCCATATTAATTTGAGTAGTCTATGGGCATACAAAAAAATAGACCACTTGATTTTTGCCCATTATATTAAATAGCTAATATAATTGTATTAATATGTTGCCAATATTAATTTAGGAAAATCCTGTTTTCCTAACAATCTCCCTCTTGGCTACATATTATTCCTTAAACAATTATATTACAAAACTCCTTAGGCGCGCATCTGTATGCTATTTATCATTAGACTGCTCCTTAAATAATCTTGTCCATCTCATATACTAATAATGGAACCACCGCAACTTTCATCACAATACATTAGTGATTAAACCACGATGATCAACATATTAATACACTTAATGACATAGATCAAATATGGATGAGTAGCATGAAAATTTACATGAGATGTGATCTCAAACATGCCTATTTCCAATTGGTCCTTCTTTAGTCTTTAGTGAGATCATTCAAAAGTCCTTAATGCAATGCAAACATTGCACAATGAAAACACAAGCAAACTCAGAAATAGAATCATAGACCATCAACTTTATTCTGCAGAAGGTTAAATAATTTAATGTCTAAAGCAAACATATAGAACATAAAATTGACTCCCACTAGACTAGAATATCCTCGGAAATAACGCCCATGTGAGCAGTGTGCTCATGAAAGGCCTTTGGCGTTAAGCCCTTGGTTAGTGGGTCCGCTAGCATGGAATTTGTTCCTATATGTTCTATGGAAATTTGTTTATCTTGAACTCTCTCCTTAACAACTAGAAACTTGATATCAATGAATTTCGATTTTGTCGAACTCCTATTGTTGTTGGAGTAAAGCACCGCTGAGTTATTGTCACAATAAATCTTTAATGGCCTGTCAATGCCATCTACCACTCGTAGTCCAGTGACAAAGTTTCGTAGCCATATTCCATGGTTGGATGCCTCATAACAAGCAATAAACTCCGCAGCTATGGTTGAAGAAGCTATGAGAGTCTGTTTAGCAGACTTCTATGAGATAGCTCCTCCAGCCAACATAAAGATGTAGCCTGATGTGGAGCGTCTGCTATCTTGGCATCCCACAAAATCGGAGTCAGAGAACCCGATGATCTCTAAACTATCTGATTTTCGATAAGTGAGCATGTAGTCTTTTGTTCTCCTCAAATAACGCATCACACGTTTGGCTGCTTTCCAATGTTGCATGCCAGGATCACTCAAGTATCTACCCAAAACTCCCACTATAAATGCTATTTCGGGACAAGTACAAATTAGAGCGTACATTAGACTCCCTGCCACTGATGCATAGGGAATCTTCTGCATCTCTTCTCTTTTAAGATCATTATTGGGGCACTGTTTGAGACTAAACTTGTCTCCTTTAGAGATGGGCGTGTCTCCTGATCTACTATCTTTCATGCCAAATCTACTCAAAACCTTATCGATATAGCTCTTTTGTGAAAGTCCAATGATACCTCGAGAACGATCTCTCAGTATCTGAATACCTAGTACAAAAGAGGCATCCCCAAGATCTTTCATCTCGAATTCCTTCGTCAGAAATTTCTTGGTTTCATACAATAAGCCTATATCGCTGCTAGCGAGTAGAATATCATCAACATATAATACCAAGAAGATATATTTACTCCCACTGAACTTATNATTGCCAGAACTGTGTCTTGAACAACAATAGGTACAGAGACCTGATTGCTGTCAATAACAGATTCTTCTTCAAAGACAACGTTTCTTATGTTTCCTTCCACTCCAAACTCAATATCCTCGAGGAATCTCGCATTTCCCATTTCAAAGAAGGATCTTGATGTGGGATAGTAAAACTTATAGCCCCGAGAGCGTTCAACGTAACCAACGAAATAGCAGCTAATCGTCCTTGAGTCCAGTTTTCTTTCATGTGGCCTATAAGGCCGTGCCTCAGCTGGACAACCCCAAATGTGCAAGTGCTTAATGC